AGCTTTACTGAAGCCGAACCCTCTCTCTTCCTTACTTGTTCTCTCTTCCCTGACCCCCCAACCTGTCCAGCATCCCCACGGAATCCCCCTCCTTTTCAAGTAACAGCCGAGTCTCCTTCCCCCCCCCCCCAATCCTTTGCTCATTGTTTTTGTGAGGGGGCTTAGGCAATCAGGACTAAGTCTTAATGCCTTGGTCCTCAGCCTTTGCCTCAATTAATTTTGCTTGGTCTTTTCTTCTTTTTCCTTTTCTTCATCCCCTTGCTTTGCCTACTATTTCGAATCATTAAACTCATTTTTGCCATTTCCGCCACAATACTTTTTCCTAATGGTCCCTACTCCCTTAACTCCTTCTCCTTCTAACAACCTTTACCTTATTCTCTACCCCATCATCTCCCCTCTCAATCCTTTTCACTACTATAGTACCTCTACTACTGTTCAGCCTGTAACTTTACCTTAATAATTAAGTCATTCCTAGCCCTTTTTGCTACTCTACTTAACCAAGGCACCATGTAGCCTTTGATGTCATATAAGCTTTGGGCTTTGGCCCCAAGCCTCGCACAATCACTATATTTTGAATACGCCAATAATGACCTTAGATATTGATGCGGCTGAACATTTTCAGTAAATAAATAGATGTTCTCAGAACTCACAGCCCCTCCCACCACAATACTTTACCGTAGTGTTGTACGACCTTTGATATCTAGCAAATTCATTTCTTTAAAACATTAAACAATCACAGTATTAGACTATTGTCATCTACGATATATATTATTGTTAATAGACATGTACAAAATTTCAGAAAAGAATGAAAAAATGTATTTGATAAGCTTTTCCATATACCAACTTGATCATACTGAAAATAATTATTTTTTGAAAGACATTATGTCATATAAATAAATAAATAAATATATATATATATATATATATATATATATATATATATATATATATATATATATATATATATATATATATATATATATATATATATATATACATAAGCATATACGAAACAAATTCATATGTATATACACATTTATATATATATGCATACATATACAAATAAATAACATATCCATATACATATACCTTTGTATATATATCTGTGTGTGTACATATGTTTTTACCTGTATATGTATATACATATAATATATACATTATATATATATATATATATATATATATATATATATATATATATATATATATATATATTATATATATATATATATATATATATATATATATATATATATATATATATATATATATATATATATATAAATATATATATATATATATATATATATATAAATATATATATATATATAATATATATATATATATATATATATATATATATATATATATATATATATATATATATAAAATATACATATATGTATCTATCTATCGATCTCTATATATATATATATGTATGTATGTATGTATGTATGTATCTATATATATATATATATATGTATGTATGTATGTATGTATGTATCTATATATATATACATATACATATATATGTATAAACATTATAAATTTATATGTACTTGTATATATATAATATATGATATATACACACACACACACACACACACACACACACACACACACACATATATATATATATATATATACAAAAGGACCGCACCGACTAGGAGAAAATTTAAGATCATAGTGTTGTTGGCAGTGAAAAACTACATTGCCTGATGTCAACATTGATTTGCAGAAGCCTACCGATTCCAGTTAAACGACGAAAATAGATCGGAGAGAAGTCCACACGCGACCTCTGTTTACTAAGTTCTCGCGCATTGTTAACACCGACTGCTCGGCCACTGCGCACCTGCGTCACATGACGTCACGACGAATCGTGTATTCCATTGTTTTTTTTAGCTTTTCATTTACATCTCATACGCTTCTAATCTTAATACTTTTCTTGCATAAACTTATTTAAAATATTTTTTTGTTTGTTTCATATTGACCTAGTTTCGTCAATTAAGGCCTGTGTTTATTTTTTTAACAATGATTTCATTTCATACTTCGCGCGCGTAAACTAAGGATGGCCACTTTGACAGCCGGTCAGTTTCAAGTATGATTAACCGGTGTCAAGACTGTGACAGTGGATTTGGTGTGTTTTTTCTAAAAAAAATTAGGTGAAACTGAGGAAGTGATTCACATTTGCAAAGAGCATGGCCTTATACTAAATACTACCGAGTGTGCAAAGTGTGGGGCAGACTGCCAAACGGATATAATGGATATACACTAAGGTATGTAAAACGATGACAGTAAAACTAGTGGGAAATACGGCGATCGGGAGGGGGTCCGGGAGCGGAGCCCCCGATAGGGAAATACGATGGTCGGGTAAGGCTAGGATAGGTTAGGTTAGGTTAGGTTAGGTTTTTATTATTTTCCACTTCATGGAACTTTATTATTGCCGTTAATTAGCGATCTCCTCGCTATTCACGCCCCCCCAAAAAAAAGCCCCGGTTCC